ATCTATTTCTCCCCTTCACTGATTTGCAATTGATACAAATATTTTCACCTTTTTAAGTGAGTGTAAATTGATAAATAATTAATAAATAAAAAAATGGTTTGACAGAAACAGTTTGTTGAATATGAGGAAAACGATGTTCATTTTATAATATAATTGTATTATGTATATAATTTAGTGTTTATGTCTGAAAAATGGGTATCACACACTTTCTCAAACATAAGCACTTAATTAAGTATATAAATTAATAAATATCATCTTAATTGTTCACTCATTAGTTGATTTAAACGAGTCTTGATAATTAACAAAACCGTGTCTAAGCAGGTTCAATTTTGTGGCGGGAAATATATTTTTTTATCCAAATTTTGCTTGAAAATTCAGCCCTGCAGCAAAACGCGGGCACATTTTAATTCAAAACCGGAACAGACGAGTTGCAGATTGCGGTTTTTAAAAATGCCACTCACAATATGGCGGCAAGGTTGACGCTAAAGCGGGCGCTTTTAGGGGCGGTGTCTTCCTGTCCAACATCAACGATAAAGTAAAATCTACGATTTACCCTCGAATTCACATTTGGATCTGTAAATGATGTAGAGCCCTGTATATGAATAAAAACCGGTTAAATCTACATTTACTTAAGAATCTTTATGCTTTCAGAGACGCGGGCTGGGTATGTCGTCACATTATGCGACAATGGTGTTTGGATTTAACCAATAGAAATGAGTGTCATGTGACATCTAGCCAATCAGATCAAACCCTGTATTTGAAACAACTACAAATACGCCACCCAGCTTCCCTTTATGCATCAGTTTCCTCTTGCACATGACGCTTTATCGTCTTTAAGTGGGAGAAAACTACTTTCTTTCTTCTTTGTGAAATTAACTGCCTATCTTATTTTTGGAAAAATGGTAAGTTTTATTCTGCGGCTTTATGATTCTGTTTATTTAACTGGTTGTGTTTAATTCGGTAATCTATCGAGTTTACTAGGAGAGATATAGAAACAAACGCTTAGGATTAAAATCTTTTATATGTATTGGATTATTAATGGGTCAAATGAAGGCAGAGCATGAAGTTTCCAGGCTTCAGCCCATATTGAAGCTGAGTCATGGGCCTGTCACCGGCTGCTGTACTTTAGCCTTTTTCCGCCTGGCAGCCTGTGACGCATTCCTCTGTTTCAGCGCCTTTTTGAAGAGGCCTCATGGGCGGCTCTGTCCAACAAAGGCTTTGTCCTTTCAGCTTATTTTCATGGTTGAACTGGCAGACTATGTAGCTCAATGTTAATAAATAATCCGCTGCAGCCAGTTATTTTATTTTTTTCTCGACTAGCCAACTCCAAAAAAAAATAAATAAAAAAACCCATACAGTTAAGTTTATGGGTTTACTTCTAATTGTGATTAACCGTGTGGTAGTAAGGATATTATTACATTTAATTAATTAATTAAATGTTTTTTTTTCTTTTTTTTTTTTTTGCAGACACCATGTGGTCTGACCTTGAAACCTATTAAGGGTGTCAGATTTTTTTTAACCCCTCCCTTCACAATGAGTCAGTGGATCTCCATCCACGTTGCTCAAGCTCTAAAGAAACCACTTCATAGTTTACTTTATGGCTTTACTTGTAAGCCTTATTGTCTGATAAAGGTGTGGTCGTTGGGTTATTTGTTTGACATCATCATCATTATTTTTTTTTTTTTCACAGCGTGAGTGCATCTCCATCCACGTCGGTCAGGCTGGTGTCCAGATTGGCAATGCCTGCTGGGAGCTCTACTGCCTGGAGCATGGGATCCAGCCGGACGGACAGATGCCCAGTGACAAGACTATTGGTGGGGGCGACGATTCCTTCAACACCTTCTTCAGCGAGACTGGAGCAGGGAAGCATGTTCCCAGAGCTGTTTTTGTGGACTTGGAGCCCTCAGTTATTGGTAAGCTTGATGAAGAAATTCTTGAAAAATGACCCAATTCCAGAACGATTGGTAAAATGAAAACCTGTCTTCTCAGATGAGGTTCGCACTGGGACCTACCGCCAGCTGTTCCACCCTGAGCAG